CTCCTCCTCCTCCTCCTCCTCCTCCTCCTCCTCCTCTGCCTCCGACTCCGCCTCCGCATCCTCCACCTCCTTTTCCTCATCGTCATCCTCCTCCTTTTCATCCTCCTCCTCCTCCTCCCCCATCCTCCTCCCTCCACAATCACACAATATGAATACTACTCTCCTCTCTCCCCTGATGACGTCCGGAAGATGTCCAGCCCCCCTCCGCGCATTGCTTTTTACACTGGATTTTCGGGAATTCGGTTTTTGCCTGGGCTGTTGTTTCAAAATGTTGCTCCCGCTAAAGCGCTGACTTTATTTTCGGATTCCCGTTCGTTCCGAATCGTGCTCCCGCTGCAGCGCTGGCCTCATCTCCGAGCTTCCACTCGTTCAGAATCGTGCTCCCGCTGCAGCGCCGGCGTCATTATTTCCAGTGCCATGCCACGGCATGGTTTTCGGTCCTTCCAATAGGCCCCGAAATCTAAAAGATGGCCCCCGAAAAAAACATCGGATGTGATTACACATTCGGTGTCGATTCGTTGATTTCTCAGGCCGCAGAAGCCCCCCCCCGCTTCGAGGCGTCGCCACGCCATGCTATGTCATGCTACGCGTTGATCTTCAACACCAAGCTTTGCCATGACATGCTATGCCATGCTACGACATCCGACTGTGCGAATAGAGGGGATCTACGCCATGATAAGGGATGGGAGAGAGGGGCAGGACGTCAGATATGATGCGAGCGCACCTAGCTTACCCCTGCTCCTCCTCCTCCTCCTCCTCCTCCGCCTCCTCCTCCTCTCCTCTCCTCCTCCTCCTCCCTCCTCCTCCTCCTCCTCCTCTCCTCCTCCTCCCCCTCCTCCTCCTCCTCCTCCTCCTCCTCCTCCTCCTCCTCCTCCCTTTCCTCCTCCTCCTCCTCGTCTTCCTCTCCCACAACCATGTTGGCTTCAGGTTCTGCGTTTCCCAACGAAACAAACAAATGCCGCTAGTCCGCGGCTAGACCCCCATCCTTCTCGCAGCTGCCGGTTCGCCCCAGCGCGCCGCCTGCGACCCCTCAACGGGCGAGCAGTCCTTTCGGCCGAGACCAGGCCTCGCGCGGGCCTTCGGCGCCCCATGGGCCGCAGCGGGACCAAGGGCGGCCACGGCGGCAGCTGTGGCAAAGGCAAAGAGTGGCATGTACATCAGCTGCTCGGCGCGCCGCCACCGTTGGAACTTCAAGTCCAACGACTGGTGCCACCATTGCCGTGCGCCGCTCGTGCCCGACCCGTCGGCCGACAAGCTCCCTGGCGGGCAGTGGCACTTCGGCCCCCCGACGCTCGCGTCGAACCCGTTCGCGCCGGCGGCCGATGCCCCTCCCGCGGCCTCCAGCAAGGCGGGCGGCGCCGCGGGCGCAGGCGCCAAGGGGCCGCCTGCGCCGCCGGGCTGCCACAGGTGCTTCGCGCGATCGGCGGCCGCGGGCGCACCACAATGCAGGCTGGCACCCGCACGGCAGCGGCACCAAGGAGGCCCCCCCGACCGCGGCCCCCCCCGACCCTCTCGCTCTGCTCCGCGCTGAGTTGGGCGACATTGACGAGCTCAAGGCCCTTGAGGCCAAGTTGCAATCCAAGTCTGAGTCTGCAGCGCCGCCCCAGCGTCGCCCGCCCCTCTTGGGGGAGGAGGTTGCCACCAAGGGGGTCGCGCGCAGGCGCGCGCAGGCCCGGCTCGACACCTGCGCGGCCCGCGTCCTTGAGGGCGAGCACCAGGCCCAGCAGGACTGGGAGGCGGCCTGTGCCAAGCGGCTGCGGTTGCCGCCGCTCGAGGAGGAGACCAAGGCATCCGCTTCTTCGGCCATCAACCCCTCGGCCCACGTTGACGAGGGCACGCTGCAGGTCGTCGATGGCCCCCTCTTCGATCTTGAGGGCCTCGAGATCGAAGACACCGACAAGGACGAGTGGGCTCGCATTAAGAGCGAGCTCGCCACCAGAGCGCAGCAGATGTTGCAAGAGGCCTCGGGGCCCGCCGCAGGCAGATCACCCAGCTCCGCGAGCAGGCCAAGAAGCTGCACGCCAGGCCCCAGGCCAAGCAGCGTCGAGGGCCCTCGGGCGACGCGCCCCCCGCAGCGGCCGCTCCTGCCTCCGGCAGTGCTGCTGCTGGCCCTGTGGCCGATGGCCGCGGAGCCCCTGTCCGCGACCTCAGCGGGCCCGAGGCCCCGCGCGTCGCCGCCCGCGCCAAGGCCACTCAGGCCGCCGAGGCCCGCGCAAAGGCGACCGCCGAGGCCGACGCTGCGCCCTCTCTTAAGCGAGAGGCCGCCCGTGGCGCGGCAGGCCAAGGACCAGGACCCCGCGCGTCGCCGCGCCGTCTACCAAAGGCAGCACCTGGAGAAGCGGCTGCGGACCTACACGCAAACCTGGACGCAGGATCCCATGGTGGAAGACGAGGAGGGCGACTCAGCCCGTTGGATGGCCCTGCGCGTTGAGTACGTGGCGGCTTGGCTCGCTCATCCTGACCATCGTCATTCCACGGTTGAAGCCATGCGGGTGGCGGGGCACGACAATGCGGCCATCGTTCAGATGGACATGACGCGCGACATCTGCGCCTCGGCCCGGCGGGACCGCCGCCGCGTTCGTGCCAACTATCACCGCAACATGCAGCGCCTCTCCCAGACGGACCGCGAGGCTGAGCTGGCCCACCACTCGGCCTCCATGGTCGAGGCCGCCGAGATCTTCGACAAGAGCGCGCTACCCAGAAGGGCAGCTGACGCCGTGCCCGAGTTCGTGGTCGAGCTCCCCTGCTGCGGAAGGCCCTACTTGCGCGGGGCTGCGGATGCCCAGGCGTGGCAGTCCTGTCCTACACCGCAGCCGACGTCCACTTCGAGTTCCTCACCGAGGTCGGCCAAACGCTGTATTCCTTCCGGGCACGATGGCCAGGCCGACCACGAAGGCCCCCCCTCGGCTGCGGCCAACTGAGAGGGCAAGGGCGGTCCTACTTCGACCACAGCAGCTCCATGGCGGTCGCCGACGCGCGGCGCTGCTGCCGGCGCTGCTGGCACGGCTGTGGCCGTCTCCCCCACGCTCGCCCCGGGCCCTCACCCCCCGTGCGCCCCAGCGGGGGAGTCGGGAGCTTTGAGCGGGTAAGGCAGGGGAACGAGCCGCGGCACGCGATGGCAGGCGACGCCGCCATCGTTGATTTCCGTGTGGGCCCCACCCTCCGCGGCTTCTCCGATTTCCACGTGCCCTCCGGTGGCCATGGGTTCCTCTTGGGGCGTTAGAACGCAAATCCCGACGCATCCCGAGTCCCGATGTCCGAGTCGGGTTCGCAAACGCCGTTTTCCCTGGATCAGGTTAGCGCGCAAATCCCGACTGGTGAGTTGGATTCGACGTCGTCGTTTTGCCGGGACCAGGCCCAGGCCACCGTGACAGACGGCCTTCATCATAAGCGGACCTCGGTCTTAGACCGCGATGACTACGACCCATTCGATGGTTTGGAGCGGGCCTTCGAGGCCGAGAGGGAGCTGTCAGACGTTCGAGCGGAGCAGCCTCATCCTGGGCCCGAGTTCGTTCGTCCAGCTGTTTCTCCTGACCCCATCCACTCTTGCAAAGAGCGGTATCCTGGAAGTTTGGGACGGTGAGTTGCGTTGCCTCACGACTGTCGGGCGATCTGCACCTTGGGCAGCGGCTCCCTTATCGAAAATCATGTGGCGGAGGGGAGCTTTGCCGAGCAGCTCAAAGCGCGCTTTCACGCAAATCCCTTGGAAGATGCACTTGGCCTTAGATATTGTAATATTGTCGGGCCACGCTGACTGGTGGCATCAGGTGCTCGCTGCTCCCAAGGAATTGCCTCAGCGGCCTCGGCCCAAGAGGACCGCTGACCCTGACAGCAAAAGGTCACGGCGCCGCGAGGAGGCTCGTGGCCGTCGGCGCGCAAGCCTCGACGCAGATCTACAGAACGCCTTTGACGCCGCGAATCCTCCTGAGGAGGCGACTCCGCAGGGTGAAGAGCAGCTGCCTTTCTATATCGACGCAGAGTCGTGGACCCGAGCGGCGGCCCCTGTTGTGATACCGTCCTCGGAGGAATTATAGCGTTCTTCCCCTGCTTGGGCTTTTGCCACAGACGCCGTCACCAGCGTGCAGGAGGCCACCGCAGTCCGCTCGCGATTGGAAATGGCCATGGAGGGGACCATCTTAGATGCCGAGGGCGTCGAGGCTGAGCACAGGGCCGCATACCGCGGCCGTACCCGTATGTATGAGCTCCAATCGAAAAAGCTCCAGCCGTCGCCAGGAAGATCGCACATGCGCAACACAGTTATGGAGTTCTGGTGGACGCTCTCATTACTCGTCACTCGTTTTGCGGCCTTACGCCGCCATGGAACCGATGAGCTGCAGCAGTCCCTGCTCATCACGTCTATGTCCAGTATGCTTGACCAAGCGGCGGAGGCCCAACCGCGGACCGATATTTGAGCCTATTTTTTCCCGGGATAGCGACCGTCATCGGCCCCGCCCCCCCCCAAGATGACGTCATGTTCCGCGCCAGCGGCGTCCGGGAATGCCTAGGGATGACCGCGCGATCTGCACCACAGCGCCTGTGTACACCACAGTGATCGCGCGCACCCACCACAGCGCGCGTGTACACCACAACGCCTGTGTACTCCGCAACAGCCGTGTGCAACGCTGCGTCTGTGTACACCACAGTGCTTGCGTGCACCACAGCGCCTGTGTACATCATAATGCTTGCGTGCACCGCAGCGCCTGCGCACAACAGCGCTTGTGTACACCGTAACATCCGCGTGCAACGCAGCGCTGGTGTCCACCACAGCGCCTGCGTGCACCGGACAGGTAGAAGGAGCATGTAGGTGAGGATCTGCTGCGGACAGCTAAACACCACGCCAGGGAAGTGCTGACAATAGAATGCGATGTCTTTCCCTCCTCCTCCTCCTCCTCCTCCTCCTCCTCCTCCTCCTCCTCCTCATCCTGCTCCTCCTCCTCCTCCCCTACCCTCTCCCCCCGCCCCCCTCACATCCCCTCCCCTCCCTCCCCGTCCATCCCATCCTCTGCGAACGCGACCAGGTCCCCCTCGAGGGCCTCCCAGTCCACGGTGGACCCTGGCGGCACGGCCCCCCTGACGACGCAGTGCGGCTCAACCTCGACCTCCACCCCGTCGGCGAGGGCGTCGACGTACAGCGGCTCGCAGTCTTCGTGCTCCTGCAGGGAGACGCCGCCTCTTCGGCCACGCGCGGGAGTGGCCCCTGGACCACAGAGTGACCTCTGGTGCGCGGCCTGCCGATCGCTGCGCGACGGCGGCGACCCGCGGGCCTGGGCCTGCCCCCCTCCCCCCCCGCGCCCCCGAGGGCCGCGCACGAGACCCCGCGACCCGACATCGCGAGCAAAAACGAAGCAGCCTACAGCGCCTTCTGCGGCAGCTCTCCAGCCGGACCACTCTGCCAGGGCCCACGGGGGCCCGAGTCCGCGCGAGAACGCACAGTGCAAAAAAACGGCGACGCCCGGATCTCGGGGAGAGACCAAGAGAGAGGGTGGCGTCCAAGAGGGTGGTTCGCAGATCATGGCCCGAGGCATGCGCGTGGACGAGGGGGGAACCACGGAAGGTGTTGAAAGAAGAGGAGGGGGCCATGAGATCTGGGGGGATACCATGGCCCCCGCAATGATACCCACCAACCCTAGTCATCACCCCCTTGGGTCCCCCCCAGATCTCGGAGGAGGTCGCCCAGCGAAGGGCCACTCTTGCGCGCAGCCTGGCCTATGGAGACGACGCAGTCGCCCGCCCCGAGGCCGGGCTGCCCTGGCTCGTCGTCCACCTCCAAAAGAAAAAGAAAAACATGTGCATAAACATACTCTGGATGGGAGAATCCCCCCTTGGATCCGCTTGGGGGGGGGGCACGTGCTGTCGGAAGAGGTGGAGAGAGGGCGGGGGGTAGGAAGAGGAGCAGGAGGAGGAGGAGGAAGAGGAGCAGGAGGAGGAGGAGGAGGAGGAGGAGGAGTAGAAGAGGAGGAAGAGAAGGAGGAAGAAGAAGAAGGAGGAGGAGGGAGGGAGGGAAGGAGGGAGGGAAGGGGATGGGCAAGCTCCGTCGGAAGGTCAATCACCCCCCTTGATGAGTACCGCGTCCAGAGTCAACTTTCGGAGGTCCGCGCGGAGTTCTTGGATCGGCGCTGGACCCCCCCCCAACTGGCGCGCGGAGCGCTGCCGAGCGCGGCGCCGCAGGCGCCGCGAGGGGGGCCACGGCGCCGATGCAAGGAATCCGCGCGGACCTCCGAAAGCGCTAGGCGTATGCGAATTATTCCTACTATTGTGTAAAGGGGGAGGGAGTCAGATTTGGGGTTTGATTTGAGCCGCCTTGGAGGGTTCCAGGGGGGTCTGGCCAAAGGCCGCCCTCTCATGCCTGGTCTGGGGGGGGTCTAAAACTGTTCGTCTGGGAGGGTTGTGATCCCCCCTCACTAACTAATAAAAGTCGGAGTGTTCTTCTCCGAGCCTCGTCGACGACCATGCCGTACCAGGTCGCGCGGGTATCGATGCCAGGGCCGAGCGCGGGGTCCACGCGCAGTCTCAGGACCCGCGCCTGCTCGAGCTCTGCGCCGCACGGGGGGTCGAACGCGAACTCGCGCTTGGACTTGGCCCTGGAGAACACCAAAAACAAATGCGCCGACCGAAGTGAAGGGCGAGGAAGAGGGGGGGGCCTGTAGCGCATCATGGCCCGAGGCATGTGCGCGGACGAGGGGGGGAGAGAGAGTATGCATTCAAAGAAAAAGAGAGGGCCGCGAAATCTGGGAGATGTCGTGGCTCCTGCAATGGGATCCACACACCCCTTCCTTGAGCTCTCCGCTCTCTTCGGCGCCCCCGATACCTGCCGGCGCCCCTGGCCCCTCGGCCTCTCCCGGGGCGCGCTCTGGCAGGGAACCCAAGGGGAGTCCAGCCGTGGCGAGGGGGGGGCCCCCTGGAAGGCCCCGAGCTGGGGGGCGGGGAGCCGAAGAAAGGGCATCAGCACCAGCGCGTGGCAGCCGCCGTCAACTCTGAGGTCCTGCGCAGTTCCATGCGCTTCTTCTGCTCTTCGTCCGCCGGCGCACCGCCCTTGGAGGCGGCCGCCTGCTCCGCCGCCAGGGCGGACCGCAGCGCCGCCACGTCCGCCGCGAGGGACCCGGCCTCGCCGACCAGCCACAAACTGGGGCGAGTTGTGCTCCGTATACCCCCCCCTTTGGGGGGAGCCCATCGTCTTGACGACCTCTCTCGAGGGGTGTCAGAACCAACAGGCCCCCCTTGCCCTTAGATCCGACGTTGCGTAAAGCGTGAAACGCTTGGGAAGATCAGGCCCGAAAGCCTAGACCCCATCTTTCTGCGGCATTGTTCGAGCCGGACCGATCTGCGATGGTCCAGGGAACCGAAAACGAGCGAAATCGCCGGATGCGGAAAAATTGCGACGCCAGGATCGCAGGAAGGAAGAGGGGGGGACGAGGAGCGCAGCTTCCCCAGCGGTGTGGGCGGCCCGCCTCGTTGCCGCTGACACCGCCCGCCGCCCGGAACTCCTGGGGAAGCCAAAAAGGAACCGATACCGCCTGGACCTCTCCCGGGGTGCGTTTTGACCAGAATATCGAGGCGAACCTGGCCGCGGCGAGGAAAACGAAGCAAGGGCAGTTGTAGCGGTACCTATTCAAGCATGCCATGTCTTGATTTTTCGCTACAGCAAACCTGTAAATCCAAACCCTGTCCCCCAGGCCTGATTTTTTATCCCGAGCCGTGGGCCCGGATAAAAAATCCGGGGGCCGGTGGGAGCCCCGAGAGGCCCAAAATAGCAAGAAACCTCCAGCCCAAGTCTACTCAGCACGCGAGCATGTGGCCACGTCCATTTTGCGTGCCACACACACACATGTGCTGGCGGGCATGCTGTGTGACCCCTCTTGGGAGCCCTCGGGAGCCCGGCGGGGTTATGGTTATGTGATCCCGTGTTTGGCATGACCGCCGCTCCAATACAGAGCCCTTGCGACGCCAACAGAATGGACGGCGGCACGTCTGGGCTCTCTTGGGCTCTCTCTCTCTCTCTCTCTCTCTCTCAGACACGACTTTTCAATATGCGGTCCCCCGAAGTCTCGACCCCTTCCCCGGGGCCGGTGTTCCGGTGTTTCATCCTGCGTCGTTTTCTCACGATCCTGGGGCCCTGTGAGAGCCCCCAGAGGCCGGCGGCCGAAAGCCTCCCGCCCTGATTCTCGCCACGACGCCAGCACGTCCCCGGGCCCCCCCCTTGCCCAAGGAGGCCCGGCACGGGCTCGCGGAGGAGGGCCGGACCGCCACGGCGGCGGCGGCCAGGGCGCCGGGCGCTGCCGCGACGCGCCGGCCTCCGGGGCGGAGGAGCGGCGGGCGCGGTGCGCCAGCGGTTCCCCCTCCGAGGCTCCGCCAGCGCCGCCGTGGCGGCGGGCAGGTCGCGCCGCGCGAGCGCCCCCCGGGCCCGGGCCTCGGCCGCCCCGCACCGCTCCCGCCGGCGCCGCTCCGCCTCCGCGGCCGGGTCGTCGAGCAGGCGCCGGGCGGCCAGGTAGGCGCCCGACGCCTCCAGCTCCTGTTCGCGGCGCGCAGGGGAGGGAGGGAGGGAGGGAGGGAGGGAGGGAGGGAGGGAGAGGAGGGAGGGAGGGAGGGAGGGAGGGAGGGAGGAGGAGGAGGAGGAGGAGGAGGAGGAGGAGGAGAAGGAGGAGGAGGAGGGGGAGGGAGATCTAGCACAGAGGCCAAGTACCTAGGCGGAAATATTGAAGCTACGGAGACACCTGGGCCAGAGATAGGATACCGACAGCTACAAAATGCGCACGCAACTACCCCCCTCCGAAGAGCGCTGTTTACGCAGCAGTGCATCGAAACGAAGGACCTCGTACTCATAGCGGACTCCCTAGCGCTCTCAAGACCCACGTACAACTCGGAGACATGGCCAACCCTTACCACTAAAGATAAGGCATCAGTCCAATCCACCTACGTGAAGATCTATATATTGGCGCTGGGAACACCGAATCACGAGCAACGCACGAACAAAACCACCGACAATTGCAACCTCGACCACATCAACAGACTGGACTTGGAATTCCTTCTCAGGACACACCGGCTCAGGTACGATTTCCGTCTATTGCGACATGGAACAGTACAACCACTACACTTCCTCGACGTACTCCTACAGATTGGAGGCAGATGGACTGAGCAACATCAGGAGAATTTCCAGTGGCTCGAGAGCCTCCAGGACAAACAGGCCCCACGCAAACGTACAGGACTGAGAGAATGGACGGCCAAGGCGAAAGAAGATAGCCAAGAAGCGGACAACTACCTGAGCATACTTACCAAGGCAGCGACGCAATGAGCACGTAAGGCGCATGGCACGAATACTACCAGCGGGCTCCTGCTCTTACCGACAAAACCTCGGACGACTACGTGAAGGACACGTACACGATCGACCGCCGCCCAAGGTCTGCACATGACGAGGCGAACGAGCTGACACCACTAGCCCGAACTCCCTCGTGACACGCTCCTGGTACATCTACGTGACGGCTGACAAATACCCGAAGTTCGTTACCGTCGAGTATTACTTCAAGCCGACGGGCGACATCGACGTCATACTCCAGATCCCTACGACGGACAAGATGGACGTGAGCGGTTTCAAGTACCAGTTGCACATGAAGTTGTTCGATTACAAGTGCGACTACGACACCAAATACTTGAACCAGTACTGCATGCAGTCGGGCATGATCAGTACCAAGGCCAACTTGCACTACACGCCGTACAAGCCCCACAAAGTGAACGAAGTCCACTACTACATCCGCATCCGCAACATGGTCTGCAAACATCGGCGAGTACGAGTGGAGAGGCCAAGAACAACAACAACAGCAACAACAGCAACAGCAACAACAACAATCAGTCTAAGACTGCTCGCCCTTATCTGCGCGAGTGTCCAATTTCGCGTATTCCCAAAACCCTCGATACCCACCCTCTTCGTCTTCGATCGAACCCCTTTTGGGGGGTATACCTTTCTTCCCTGCAGTCCGGCCCGGGCAAGCGGCGGGGCGGCCGCGGACCGTCGGCCTGGCCAGCGACAGCGCTGATCGGCGGGGCGGCCGCGGACCGTCGACCCGACCCCAAGAGGGACGGACAGGGGACCGACCACGACGACGACGACGACGACGACGTCGTCGTCGACGACGACAACGACGACGACGACGACGACGAGCGAAAGCGAGAGCGAAAGCGAGAGCGAGAGAGAACGACAGCAGGGCCACGAAGGACACGGAGTAGGTCACGAAGGGCGACAGCGGGTACACGAAGGGAATGCGTATGGGGCCACGAAGAGCGCGAACGAGCGGGGGCCACGAAGGGCAGTTAATGCGGGGCCACAGAAGGCAACGATAGGGGCCACTGAGGGTAGCAACTGGGTCACGTAGGACAGTGAGGGGGCCACACACGGCGACAGCGACGCCACGAAGGGCATGCACATGGGGCCACCACGGGCGCGAACGAGAGGGGCCACGAAGGGCATATGTATGTTGGGCCGCGGAGGGCAAGGACGGGGCCACTGAGGGCAGCAACGGGGCCACGAAGGGCAGCGAGGGGGCCATGAAGGGCGACAGCAGGGCCACGAAGGGCATGCATATGGGCCACCACGGGCGCGAACGAGCGGGGGCCATGAAGGGCATACATATATGGAGCCACGAAACAAAGCGAGGGGGCCACGAAGGGCTGCAACGGGGCCACGAAGGGGAGCGAGGGGACCACGACGGGCTGCCACGAAGGGCTGCAACGGGGCCACGAAGGGCAGCGAGGGGGCCACGAAGAGCTACAACGGGGCCACGAAACAAAGCGAGGGGGCCACGAAGGGCTGCAACGGGGCCACGAAGGGCAGCGAGGAGGCCACAAGGGGCTGCAACGGGGCCACGAAACAAAGCGAGGAGGCCACGAAGAGTTACAACGGGGCCACGAAACAAAGCGAGGGGGCCACGAAGGGCTGCAACGGGGCCACGAAGGGCAGCGAGATCCCGATTCCTAGGTAATCTGTGAGGGAGTCCTAAGCGTAAGCGCGACTCCTTGGTGCCTGGGTGTCGGGAGCGCGCCCCTAGAGTAAATCGCAAGAAATTCAAACGCAAGGGCGCTATTCGTCAGTAAATTGCAAGCAAATCTCCAGCGAGAGCGCGACTCCAGAGCGCCGGGAGAGCGATTCCTGAATAAATTGTCAGGAAGTCCGGCGCGAGAGCGCGATTCCTGAATCAAATGCGAGGAAGTCTCGGGCGGGAGCGGGGGTCCTGGCTAAATTGTGAGGAAGTCTCAAGCGGGAGCCGTTGTTGTTGTAACCTGGGGGCCAAGGGCGCAGTTTGAGCATCGGGGGGATCAACAGTAATTATTCTTCAGAAATGCGAGTTCAACAACAACAACAACAACAACAACAACAACAGCAGCAGCAACAACAACAACAACAACAAAAACAACAATCACTTTACCCGAACGCTCAGTGTTCTCACCAGTGCCAGGGTTTTCATGCGACGCCAGCCAATACCCCCACTTTGTGGGGGGGCAGTGCAAGCTCTACCAAATATCCACACGACTCTTCGCCACCACCCACACCCAGCTTCCCGCCCTATGACGTTCGGACACTTCACTTCGTGGCCTGCGGACGACCGTGGCTACTACACTGGCGTGGAGTACACACCCACAGAAGTTGTTAGGACAGCGCGCGCGGGTAGAAATTTTGAAAAGTCGTGCAGGTGTTTTTCGAGGACCTACGGTGCGATTCGTGTGATTTTATGATGCGCGGTGCTAAAATTCTTAAGAAGCCCAATGGTTTTTGGAGATTTCGGCGTGCGCGCGCGAAGAAAAAACGAATGTGTCCCGCATGGTATTATTTGACAGGGATGATGGCCCTGGCAGGTGCGCAACCGTTGTCGCAGAAGTTCGAAAAAGTTGCTCGCAAAAGCCCGTTTGACAGAAATGTTTAAAAAGTGTTGGGTTTCCTACGAATCCGCAAGAGCGCGCGGGATGAGATTTTGACATTTTTTTGTTGAAAAACCATTGGTTTTTTGATGTTTTTATGTTAAAATCGCTCCGAACACTAAGCTTTTGGAAGGATTTCGTCTTGCGCGCGCGAATGTCCACTTTACCTTATTTTTTGCAAGGGATTCTTGAAATTTGATTATATTAGAACAAGAAATGTCATTTTATAGTGTTTTTTGCAAGGGAAAACGGATTACAACAAAACAACCGGATCTGGACCCCATCCACTTTTCTGAAGCTTTCGCGAAAAAATAATGAAAATGTAGCTGCGGCCTAGGCGCGGCGGGGGGGCCGTGCACCAGGGGTCCCAACAATAATTATTCTTTAGAATTAATAATGTTCAACAACAACAACAACAACAACAACAACAACAACAACAACAACAACAACAACAACAACCACAACCACGACGACGACGACGACGACGACGACAACAACAACAACAACAACAACAACCACAACAACAACAGCAGCAACAACAACGACGACGCTTTAGACCTCATCCACTTCATGGACACGAGCATCGAGGACCACACCTTCCTCACTGGCAAGTACGTCGAAGGCAATCACGTCAAGTACGACCACGTGACGTACTACCGTTCGAAGACGACGCAAAGTCCAAGGAGAACAACAACGGGGGGCGACGCCATCGGAAACTACACGCACGACGCCCAGGACTACAAGGAGAAATATAGCGGGCCTCAGCCGCCGGGTCGTACAAGCACCTGCGTGCAGAGTGGAATGCATCGGAGTCGACTATTATACAGTGCCAGCCCTACGAGGGCATGTACCCAGATCCAGCTCTACCTGGGCAAAAAGTACCTCCTCACCCCATCCATCATACCAGGCATCATGTAGTGCTGCGTTTGCTACCTGCACGTGTGCTGGATACCACCAAACAACTGACGCAAGCGAATGTCGTTACCGCATGCTCGGATACTACCTGTACGTGCACTGGATACCATAGGACAATGCTGTGGGCACACGTCCCTACTGCAAAATACCCACCCACCAGCCTACGCACTGCCATGACATATACCGCTACAAACGCCTACAAATGCCATCTACAAGCTGCGACGTACATATCAATACATATGATAATGGCCGGCACAAACTACAAACGCATCTATAATACACCAGGGGAATACCTACTTGCTGAGACAAGTATATGGCTCGGACATCTCCCATGCCAAAACAAGCGGGAGCAACTGGTTTCCAAGGTTACTATTTCAGAAGGGAGGCAATATTTAACGATCCGCGACAACAAAGCGGCCCTGCGACACTACTTCAAGGACCTGTACAACAAACGGGTCAATGTCTAGAAAGCCACACGCTCGGAAGATACCTGCGACGTTATTATCGACGACCGCGTTGAGGGACCGCATCACGGGCAAGAGCCACCCCAGCCACTGAGAGATGATCACTGGCATGCTTCCCAAAGTGATATCATGGTGGAAAGTCAACCATACGAGTCAGCAGTAAGGTTTTGCTATGAATTGAAATAGGCCCCGGATCAGGAGGACTATGCATGTCACCCTCGAGATCGGCAAAGGCACCCCTACGATCGAACAGCTTCAGAAGCGATAGCTGCCATGTTATACGGGCAACAATACGATATGGAACCAGACCAGTACACGCACATGAAGATAGACTACGAATTACAACTACGACGAGATGTCTGTGGACAACACTACGTAACTCAACTACCAGCCCACGATCACAGAGGGTAGCAAATACTGCGTGGACTTGCTGAACTCCCAGGGCAACCTGACTGCTCAAGATTTCGTCATCAGTTACGGCCTATCAGCCCCATCAGGGAACCACAACAAGCGTACACTACATAATTCTCCACTGTCGGCATCATCACAAGCGCGCGTGGTGAAGCCGATAAGGAGGACTGCTAGGCTACTACTTCTAGAACAGTCGGTACTCCGACACTGACTCCGGCTGCCAGATAGCTGGAGGAGCGTACGACGTCTTCAGCGCTACGGACAAGGTGCGCCGTGTACTACGCTACGCGCAAGGTGCGCTGTCCTCGGTACCGCCTGCACAAACTGTACTGAGTGGCCCCGCCGCTCGCCCTCCCTCCCCTTCCCTCCCTCTGAGTTGGCCTCAGGATGCCTCCCCTTCCTCCCCTTCCCTCCCCTTCCCCTCCCTCTGAAGGTTGGTGGCCTCCCTCCCCTTCCCCTCCCTCTAAATTCGCCCTCCCTCCCCTTCCCTCCCCTTCCCTCCCTCTGAAGGTTGGTGGCCTCCCTTGGAACGGTCCCCTGGTGGCGTCCGGGGGGCTCCGCCCACACGCCGGCCTGAGCTCCGCGCGCGGGGCCCCGCGCGGGCGCGGTGGGCGGCAGGTCACGGCCGACGCCGCTGCGAGAGATAGGAGGGGCGGGGGAGGAGGAGGAGGAGGAGGAGGAGGAGGAGGAGGAGGAGGAGGAGGAGGAGGAGGAGGAGAGGAGGAGGAGGAGGAGGAGGAGGGGGAGGAGGAGGAGGAGGGAGGAGGAGGAGGAGGAGGAGGAGGAGGAGGAGGAGGGGGAGGAGGAGGGAGGAGGAGGAGGAGGAGGAGGAGGAGGGAGGAGGAGGAAGAGGGGGAGGAGGTGGAGCAGGAGGAGGAGAAGGAAAAGGAGGAGGAGGAGAAGGAGGAGGAGGAGGGGGAGGAGGAAGACACACAAGGGGGTGGCGCCCGACGCGTCCAGCTCCTTTCGGCGGCGCGCACAAGGGGGGAGGCGCGACCCAGACGTGCAGCGCCTGGGAAAAATCAGGGCAGAGGCGTTTTGTCGCGTTCGGCCTCTGGGTGCCCTCGCCAGGCCTCGCCAGGCCCCGGGGCCTTCAAGAGATGACCCAGGATGAAAAACCGGTCCCAGGGAAAGGGACGGGACTTCTGGGGACCCCGTAGTATATATATATATATATATATATATATATATATAAACACAACAACAAAAAAAAAAAAAAAAAAAAAAAAAAAAAAAAAAAAAAAAAAAAAAAAAAAAAACGCGTCTGGGAAGGAGCTGGCACGAGGGGGCGTCTTTATGAGAAGGGGGTGTGATTAGAAGTACTTGTGTGTACTGATGTATACACGCACAGCTCATGAAGCGATGCGTGCTGTGGACATTTATGCTTAAACCGTTTAGGCGCCTTGAGTCCTGGTGAGACAAAAGAGTTTATCCGATGCGCTTCTTATGCAGCGACCGATAGTGGAAGAACGGGGAACTAGGTCACATCAATCAGATCCTCTCAGACCCCAGGGACACCTACGGTTTCCAGTGTAGGTTTGAGCAGTATCGAGGGGGGGGCTTCTGACAAGGCGGGGGCCTTCTCAGAAGGCCCCCGAGGCTTCTGAGATGACTTTTTAGAGGCGTCGGGGCGTTTCTGAGAAGCCCCCCTGCCTTCCTAGAAGCCCCCCTGCCTTCTTAGAAGCCAACCCCCCTCGCGCCACCCCCTCGTGCGCGCCGCCGATCCTTGATCTGCGCCAGGATCGGCCCCTTGCTCTTCTTGGGCGCCTTCTTGGACTCCCCGTTAAGGCGCGCCAGCTCCGCCTCCGTCTCGTCAACCAGCCGCCGGGCCTCCGCATACTGCGGGTCCTCCATGCGCAGGCGGTCCTGAGGAGGGCAGAAGGGCCACCCTCGTCATCAGCGCCCCGACCAGCGAAGCCTTCTCGTCCCCTGACCAGAGGAGGAGGAGGAGGAGGAGGAGGAGGAGGAAAAGGAAAAGGAGGAGGAGGAGGAGGAAGGAGGAGGAGGTGGAGGAGGAGGAGGAGGGAGGAGGGGTTGAAAGGGTTGAGGAGAGGTGGAGGGCTGGCGGAGCAGGCGTTGGGAAGGAGGAGGAGGAGGAGGAAGAGGAGGAGGAGGACGACGAGGAGGACGAGGAGGAGAGGGAGGACGACGAGGACGGGGAGGAGGAGGAGGAAGAGGAGGTGGAGGAGGAGGAGGAGGAGGCACTGTCTGTCGCCGACGCACAAGGGAAAGGGATCGACCAGGGCAGGACTGCGCAGTAATCACGAGCTGTGGGGGCCAGGGTGGTCTTTCCTCCCTCGAGGGTCCAGCAGCCGTGCCCTGTCCTCCGAGCTGAGACCGACCTCCTCCGCGAAGTCGTCGAAGAACTCCACCACCTGGAGGAACAAACAAAAAACACTCGGCGGCGAGTCCAGGGGGAAAGTGAGAGGGAGCGGGCCTTCTCAGAGGGGGGCGGTGCTTCCCAGAAGCCCTCGCGCCTTCTGAGAAATGTCTGAGCCTTCTCCGAAGCCACAGACGGCTTCTCAGAAGGAGCGAGGACTTCTGACAAGCCCCGCCAACCTCTGAGAAGGCCTGCTCTCTCTCTCTCTCTCTCTCACTTACCCCCCCGGGGCTCGCCGCCGAAACACGCACAAACCGAAACTGTCGGAAGTCCGCTCGGGTGTCTTGGATCGGCTCGGGGGCCCCCTGGAGGCGCCGCTGGCTCAGCACTCCAGCGAGGGAATTCCAGCGCCGATCCAAAAAAAACACGCGCGGGCCCCCGAAAGTATACGGCCGGACCGTGCCGTGACGACCCATGGCGTTGGTTTCTGGCACCGCGTGGATCGTTCAACCGTGCACAATTGGCAGCACTTCGGTCGCAAGATCATTCCATGTAGGTCGTTTCCGGGAGGCTTGGAAATGCGCACCAACACCAACACAGGGGGCTGATCTACCGGGGGAAGGTGATCCTAGATTTCGGTGTTGGTGATAATCTGTCGGCCACCTGGAAACCATAATATGACCACCATCACCGAGAGCGGGATCATCTTCCCTCAGTGGAGGCACACCGCCGATATTGGTGTTGGTGTCAGCCTCCAGGCCTCCCAGATTCTGGGCCACTTGCGGCGTTCTTCTTTGAGCGCCCGCTCCTTCGCCTGCTCACGGGGGTGGTCAGCCTCTTGGGGGTCAGGAAAAGGTGAGCTCAATTCCTTGGATGTTCCTTGTTCGGGGCCGAACTCGTATCAACAAATGAATATACCTTTGGTTTTCATGAGTAATTTCTTTGGGTGAATACTTCGCCAAGGCCAATGCTTGTTTAAGACAATGTGTAATCCTTGGTTTGCCCTCCGCTGACTCTGACTCCCAGAACTCTGTACCCCATTAGCAGGCGAATGGCCCGCGGCGGAGCCGCCGCCGCGCCGACACAATGCGAACCTACTGCATGCAAGTTGTTCGTCTCCGACCACCTCCTCCAGCAGCTCGGCGCCCTGGTGATATGTTATTTTACTCTTTGTCCGGCGAGAACCTGGGTTGTCCAAGGGGGTGGACGTAAGACTCGGATTCAGGGGACTCGGGTTGACCTGACGGGGCCGTCGGGAAAATGACGAGACCCAGTCTAAAATCTGACGCGATCTCCGGCTCACACGAAAACTGGACAGACAAAACTTAGGATGGGCCCGTCAAACAGCTTGGTCAAACCCGAATCCGGACGAACTCGAATATTACGTTTGCCCGACTTCTCACTTTGGGAAGCCCCACGTATGCCGCGCGCACCAGTACAATCATCGGCCTGACCTAAGGAAAGATAAATGAGGAACGAAGCCCCTTTTTTCCCGAGGAATAATGCATAAGGAACGATATATAATAAAGAACGCATAAAGAACGATAATAACGCACGCTAACCTAAGGAACGACCGAGCCCCTTTTGAAAAGCAAGTGTTCCTTATTCAAACCGCTTACTGTACTGCGTGCCCCCTCTGCGGACATGTGCAACTGACAGGGTCAGAGGCAGGCCCAATAACCCCTGGGCGGGTATCGGACGAGCATCGTCGACGATACTCGTTCGATGCCGCACCGTAGGCAATTTGGTCCGAAGAGGCCATAGGGAGCAAAACGCATGTAAAGAGACGAACAGGGGCGACCTGTCCACTGGAACCTAATAGATACGGAAGTCCACTAGGCAAGGTTGGCTAAGCCAGCTTCAAAGCTACATTGGGACTCAAAAGGGCAGCGCCAAGCGATGCTATGAAAGTTGGCCGAACTAACGGAAGTCCAAGAAGCGCTTGAACAGAATAACGAAGGTGCGTGTGTGCGAGTATAAAGCACGTGCCCATGTTACTGCTGTTTTTTAGCCTTGGCCATGATCGCACTCTGTATGATACAACTCGCTGCACGTCGCCACGCGTACGACCGAGGGGAAAGAGGAGCGGAAAGTGTGGAGAAAACAACCTTTGGTGTCCTCGGCACGCCAGACGAACGACCAGTAAATGCAGATTTTGGCGTTCCCAGCTCGCCAGCAGAACGACCGGTGAATGCGCCTTGTGGCGTCCCTGGCTCGCCAGCCAAACGACCGGTAAATGCAGAGTTTGGCACCCGGAAGGGAGCGCAGAAAGCTCGAAGTCACAAGCCAAGGGGGAACTGCAGAGCCAGTCATATATCTAACTAGGAGTTGTGGCGGAATACCTTATAAGCCCACCCGATGTGTGAGCGATGGAAGGGTCCCTGAGAGGCCCAAAAGGAAGAAAGGAACGAAGGGTTGGGGAGGGGATGGGGCAAGGGCACTGTGCGGGAAACCCCTTATGGCCCCAGCGGCCACTTATAGAAAAGTCCCAAAACGCACAGCGCAACCAAAAGGAAACGCGCCCATGTTACTGTCGAAGAAACACGAGCCCGGAGGAATACGTCGGACCAAAGGGAAGGATGAAGGATAGCCATGGCAACATCAACGCTGACAGCAGAACTGCCACGAAAGATACCGAATGGTACAACAACTGCAGACCGCCCAATCTGCATTCGCGTGCACAGAAAACCGTAGAGCAACAAAGCAGGCACCCAAATTCAACGCTCCGCGGTTTTTCCGCCCTTCGTCCCACCGCGGCCAGCTTTGTAAGGCGTGGCCCTGGACACGGCAGCAGGCTGGCCCTGGTACATCCCTGCCGATGAACGATAAGCCATTCCTCCCGTGCGCAAGGTGTGGCAACTGCACTCTTCATCGAGCACACCATCAGCTCCGCCACGCGCGGGGAGCTCAAATAAAAGTAGTCCTGCTGGCTGCGTGGGCGGATCAGCACCAGCTGCAGCACTTGGTAACGCAAGAGCGGGCGCTGTGGCAGGATCTCCCCCGAGACCCGCGCTTCGGCTGGCTGCGCCACCATCAGAAGGAGAAGCACCCTGAGGAGGCAACTCATTGGGAATCCGCGCGGCATCAGCCTCAGCCTTCTTGGCTGCCTTGCGGCGCTCTTTCGTCCCCGAACGTTGAGCGCGGCGCGCAGCACTGAGCGCATGAAGCAACTGTGCAAGGTCGTCGGGTTCCGTGCTGGCGCTCTGCGCACCAGCGACAGCACGCTCCGGACGCATGAGAGGCACGGCGTCAGCAACGGGGCGCACCAAGACGCCTGTGACTGCCGCCGCGGCCGCCTGCACTGTCCTCCGAGGGGCGCCTGCTTGGCAAGCGGTGCGAACAGCCGCCAAGAGGGCGGCGCCATCAGCGGACATGGCTCTTATGCGCTGCCCAGGGTGCCGAAGCAACGACAGCAATCTCTTGAGCCAAACCTTGGGAGCGAAACGTGTGGCCTCTTCTTTCTTCGCTGGAGACTCGATCGAAAACAAGGTTATCGCAGGTTGGAGGCGGCCAGGGGATCTGAACTGGTTGGGACCCCAGAGAATCGGTCAGGAGTGGGAATGAGGCCAAATCCGCTCAAAATCGGTCCCCAAACCCCTCCTCGGATCCATCTGGTGCAGTCTTTCACCTCGGGTTCGTTTTCTAATGGTCCCGGGGCGCGAAAACGGCGCCCCGAGGCCTGAAATCCGAAAGAACCAGAAACAAAACCTTCCTGGACCCAGCACCTCGAACCTGGCCGCCCTTCCTGCTGGCCGGAACCAGCGCTGGGCCGCCTCAGACCCCCAGACGGCTCCAAATCCAAAGCAAGGTGATCGCGGGACCCGAAGATTTTATTAAGAATCCCCCCCCCAAAAAAAAGCAGTCTCCTGTTCCCTGCACCACCCCAGCGCCGCGTCCACGGAGCTGGCGAGGCCCGCGTCCCGCAGCGCCGCGGCCAGGCCGGGCACGGCCTCGGACTCCGCAGCGGCGGCCGGCGGCTGCTGCACGGTCACGGCCGGCTCCGCCGGCCTGGGGGGCTCCGCCACGGGCTGAGCCGCCGTCGCCGGCACGGCCGCGGGCACCTCTGAGCATCGTCTAAGCGATCCCGATCCACACTACCGTGGCCGTGGCCCCTCTGGCCGAACTACGTGGGGGCACGTGAGCACCGAAAAGAAACGGACCTGACACAGCGAGGGCGGGCACGCACGACCTCACGCGGGCAGCTTACGCGCCAACGTCGGCGAAGACGACCCCGTTTCTCTTCTGTCGATCATATGCCTGTCCATTCGGGCTTCGCGGGGCGTATCCCCACCAGGGGTGACGGGCTGGTGGAGGCTGAGATACTGTAGCCCAGTGAAAGTTGGGATCGGCTACACGGTGCTCAACCTTGGCGCCCATCAGCTGCGCGAGCTCCGCCTGCAGCTTCGCGGCCTCGCCAGAGGCGCCAGACCTGACGCGCGCCACCTCCTCGCGCAGGCCCGACGCCTCCTGGCGGGCCAGCTCGGCCTGCGCCCGCTCCCCCGCCAGGTCCTTCTCCACCTGCCGGGGAGGCGTGCCGCAAGTGTCCCTGGCCCAAGGTGTCTCAGCCTGTCGCTCCATGTTGCACGTGCCCCAGGGCCCCGTGGGCCTCGTGAGTGGTGCTCTGGAAGCTGCGGGGGCCTGCTTCGAGCTACTGGGGGCTACTGTGGGCCAGGGACACTTCTGGCAACAACCAGACCTGGGTGAGCCTCTCGCGCTGGCTGCTCAGCTGAGTCTCGTAGCGGCTGGCCTCCTCCGCACGGGCCCTCTGCAGGGCCTCGAACCTCGCCTCCGCCTCGGCGGCGTCCTGCCTGGCCTGGGACGACAGGGCCTCGCTGGACTCCCTCTCCTCTGGGAAAACCGAAAGACGCCGATACCGCTACTCCCCAGACCTCTCCCGGGGTGCGTTTTGACCAAGAATTCGAAGCGAATCCAGCGGCGGCAGCGAGGGCATCCCAGGAGGCCGAAAAAGACGAAAACGAGGCGAGGGCAGAGCGGTACCTTTTCCTCCTCCAATCCTCGGTGCACTCCTCGCGCAAGCGGCCCACGCTGGCAGAGAGCTCCGAGGCCAGGGCGGCGGCTCTGCCCGCGCTGCGCTCGGCGGCCTCCCCCTCCTCCGCGGTCTGCCTCCGGGACTGCTCCTGGGGAAGCCAACCAGGAACCGATACCCCGACTCCCCGAACCTCTCCCGGGGTGCGTTCTGACCAGAATTCCGAGGCGAATCCAGCGGCGGCGACGAGGGCCTGCCAGGAGGCCCAGAAAGGCGAAAACGAAGGGCATCGGTACCTATCCAAGCATGCCTTGCCCTGACTTTTTCACGACGGGGTCCCTGGAGGTCCAGACCCTTTCCCTGGGCCGTTTTCCATCCCGAGCCCGTGTGTTCACAGTCCAGGGGCCCGGTGAGAGCCCCTGGAGGCCGCCAGAAACCTCTGGCCCGAGCATGAGGCCTCCTTTTCTGACTACCTACCAGACCACCCCAACCCAACCCGAAGACCCGAATTTCGGGTTGGGGGGGGTAAGGGTTCCACACGTGTTTTTTCGACGTTTCCCGACCCCCCCCCACTGGAAATCGAGGGTAAATCTGAGCCTTCGGGTTGGGTTGGGGTGGTTTGGTGGGTGGTGATTTTCCTCCTCCGAGCTCCAGCTCCGCCCGCAGCTCCCCCAGCTGCGCCTCCGCGCGCGCCTCCCGCTCGGCCAGCTCCCCGCGCTGCCGCCCCGCCTCCTCGCGCAGCGCGGCCACCTGGCTGGCCGCCTCGGCCTCGGCGGCCGCCCTGCGCGCCCCCTCCGCGCACGCGGCCTCCTGCAGAGAAATGAACAGCGGCAGAACGCGAAACCTTGGCGGCAGCGGCCTCGCGCGCGGTGGCGAGGCGGAGTCTGTAGAGGTACTCAGCGTGGGCCCGCGGCAGGGACCTCAGGGATCGCTCTGGATCCCGCAGCACCTACCGCACGGCAGAGCACGCAAACTGTCTGACCTCCGCGCGGATCTGTCTCGGATCGGCGCCCCCCCGCGCGCGCGGCCTCCTGCAGAGGAAAGAACTGCGCATCGTCTAACCGACCCCTTATCCCCATTGGCGCGGTCTGGGCTTCACTGGCCGATTTACCCGCCGAGGTGGGGATGTGGGCTGCTCTGTTCAGGCTCCGAGGGGTATATGCCCAAATGGGGTGGTGATCGGTTAAACGACACTCAGGAACAATGGCAGGACACGCAAACTGTCTGACCTCCGCGTGGATGTGTCTCGGATCGGCGTTGGAGCTCCGCGCCAGGGGCGGCACCGGAGACGCCGCCCAGGGGGGCCAGCGCCAGTCCTACAAAAATCAGCGCGGAGCTCACAAAACTTATGCTCACGCATCTTCATATCGTTATGATTAGTATTCGTTGTATGGCACGTAATACTATTAGCCGTGTTGTTGGTATGCACCGTATGATTACGAGTCTTAGTAGTAGCACTCATATGTTTAGCAATAGTATTAAAAACATGCTGGTAGTAAACATAATAAAATAATGAGAATGATAATAATGATCATGCGAATTCTCATAATAATAAGAATAATGATAATGAGAATGATCATACGAATAACAATGGTGATAATAATGCATCAGAATCGTCTTCATCATCAGAATCATCACCATCACCATCATCAGCATCAGTATCATCATCATCGTCAGCAGCAGCAGTATAAGAATACGAATATTAATGATACGAATAGTATTACCAGTAGCCATAAGACTAACCATAGCGAAAACGAATGATGATAGTGATAACAGTGAGACTGATTAGAGTGTGAATACTATTAATACGACTAGCAATGTTACGCGTGGTAATGTTAATGTTTGTATTGCTGCGGTCATCATTAGTAGTACCACCCATTGCTTGCAGCATTAATATGACTGGCATTCTGAATATGATCAGTCGTCTGTTTGCTTGCTTGTTATGCTTCTCTGGTGTATTCTTCGTCTTCTCACTCGTAACAGTATTAGCATTCGGTCCTCCGCCGCCTCCCAGAGCCGCGCCTGCTCCGCGCGTTCCCGGCGCACCCGCTCGGCCTCCTCGGCGTGGCCAGCGGCCTCCGCGGCCGCCTCGCGGGCCTCCCGCTTCTGGAGGCCGGCCGCCTCCTCGTGCCTCTGGCGAGTGGCCGAGGCCTCCGCCTCCAGGGCCGCGATGTCCTCCCGCGCCCAGACCCCCGCGCGGTGCGAAACAAGTCGCGATGAAAGGCTTGTTCCCCTCCCCCGCTCCTTTCCTGTGATAGCACGAATGCCCAAAGAGGCCCCAAGAGGCCCGCAAGAGGCCCGCAGGAAGCCCCAGGAAGCACCAAGAAGACCCCCAAGAGGTTCCCAAGAGGCCTCAGAGCTGCCCCCTCCGAAGCCCCCGAGAGTCCTCCGAAGAGACCCCCAGAAGCATCCGTTAGCATCCGTGTCGGGATGGGCCGAAGGCCACTGGATAGTACGAATCCGAAGGCCAGTGGCCCTGCTGGAGGCACTGCGCTCTATTCGTCTCTTCGGCCTCCGGGGGCCCTCGCCAGGCCCCGGGACCGTCAAAAAACGGCTCGGGACGAAAGGCCGGCCCCAGGGAACTCGAGCAGGGGATCGACTACAGAGTTGATTTACCCCAGAAGTCATTCTCTCGTAGACTCTACTGAAAATGCGTCGACTGTTCCGTAGATCGGCGGAGCATTCCACGTGCTCCTCGCAGATTCGACGGACAATCAAGTCTGGGGCAAGTCAATCCTGCAGTCGATCCCCTACTCGAGGAATGGGTCGAGACCCCTGGGGCTCCACGCTGTGAGAAGACCACGACTCTGGGTGCCCGCTTCGAGCACCGCGCCCCCGCGGCACGCGGCGGCGCGGGTCTCCTCGCGCCCCTTCGGGGGGCCTGGCCTCCCGCGCCTCTGGAGCGGCCAGCATCGGATCGAGGAATCGGCTTGAGAATCGTGGGGCACACAAAAAACATGCCAGTACGATGTGTCCTCCTTGGAGGCGCGCGTCCGACCCGAACAGATGCGTATGCAAAAATACGGGTGGGACGACAACACGAACAACAACAACAACAACAACAACAACAATCATTTTACCCGAACGCGCGGTGTTCTCCCCAGTGCCAGGGTTTTCATACGACACCAGGCAATACCCCCACTTCGTGGGGGGGCATTACAAGCTCTACCAAATATCCAAACGACTCTTCGCGACCACCCAAACCCAGCTTCCCGCCCTATGACGTTGGGACACTTCACTTCGTGGCGTGCGGACGACCGTGGCTACTACACTGGCGTGGGGTACACACCCACAGAACCCAATGGTTTTTGGAGATTTCGGCGTGCGCGCGCGAAGAAAAAACGAATGTGTCCCGCATGGTATTATTTGACAGGGATGATGGCCCTGGCAGGTGCGCAACCGTTGTCGCAGAAGTTCGAAAAAGTTGCTCGCAAAAGCCCGTTTGACAGAAATGTTTAAAAAGTGTTGGGTTTCCTACGAATCCGCAAGAGCGCGCGGGATGAGATTTTGACATTTTTTTGTTGAAAAACCATTGGTTTTTTGATGTTTTTATGTTAAAATCGCTCCGAACACTAAGCTTTTGGAAGGATTTCGTCTTGCGCGCGCGAATGTCCACTTTACCTTATTTTTTGCAAGGGATTCTTGAAATTTGATTATATTAGAACAAGAAATGTCATTTTATAGTGTTTTTTGCAAGGGAAAGCGGGGGGGAACAAAACAACCGGATCTTGATCACATCGAATTACCTGAGGCTTCCTCACGAAAATGATGAAAATGTAGCTGCGGCCTAGGCGGCGCAGGGGGGCGTGCACCAGGGGCCCAACAATAATTATTCTTTAGAATTAATAATGTTCAACAACAACAACAACAACAACAACAACAACAACAACAACAACAACAACAACAACAACAATTACTAGCACGTGGGGACACTCCGTTCTCACCAGTGCCAGGGTTTTCATAGGAGGCGGGCAATACCCCCACTTTGTGGGGGGGCCGGTTCAAGCTCTACCAAATTTCCAAACGACTCTTCGCCACCACCCACACCCAGCTTCCCGCCCTATGACGTTCGGACACTTCACTTCGTGGCATGCGGACGACCGTGGCTACTATTCAGGGCCCCGCGGCCGACGACGACGGCGTGCGCGCGCGAAGAAAAAACGAATGTGTCCCGCATGGTATTATTTGACAGGGATGATGGCCCTGGCAGGTGCGCAACCGTTGTTGCAGAAGTTTGAAAAAGTTGCTCGCAAAAGCCCGTTTGACAGAAATGTTGAAAAAGTGTTGGGTTTCCTACGAATCCGCAAGAGCGCGCGGGATGAATTTTGACAATTTTGTTTTGAAAAACCATTGGTTTTTTGATGTTTTTATGTTAAAATCGCTACGAAAACAAAGGTTTTGGAAGGATTTCGTCTTGCGCGCGCGAATGTCCACTTTACATTATTTTTTGCAAGGGATTATTGAAGTTTGGTTATGTTAGAACAAGAAATGTCCACTTTAGCTTATTTTTTGCAAGGGAAAGCGGGCGTCAACAAAACAACCGGATCTGGATCACATCGTTTTACCTGAGACTTCCTCACGAAAATGATGAAAACGTGGCTGCGGCCTAGGCGCGGCGGGGGGGGCGCGCACCAGGGGCCCCAACAATAATTATTCTTAAGAAGAAATAATGTTCAACAACAACAACAGCAACAACAACAGCAACAGCAACAGCAACAGCAACAGCAACAGCAACAGCAGCAACAACAACAACAACAACAACAACCACAACCACAACCACAACCACAACCACAACCACAACCACAACCACAACCACAACCACAACCACAACCACAACCACAATCACAACAGCAACAACGACGACAACAACAACAGCAACACCAACAACAACAAGAACAAAACAACCACAACCACACCACCACCAACAACAACATCAGCAGCAACAACAACAATCAGTTTGAGGCAGCTTGCTCTTAGTTGATCCCAAACCGTATACCTTTATACGTGCTGCGTGCCACGCAACACGTATATCCCAAACCTTCGATACCCGCCCTTGTTGCCTTCGACCGTACCCCCTACCGGGGGTATATCTTCATAACTTGCCGCGCAAATTTAGCGCAGCCCCTAAAACAGGGAAAGGGAGGACGGACGGGGGAAGAGAAGGATGGACCACGCGAGAGGGCCTCTCGGAGCAAATCGCGAGGAAGCATCGAGCGGGAGCCCTTGTCATCGCGGCTGCGTCCCCACTAATTTGACTGAGTTGCGAGGGTGTCCAGAGCGAGAGCGCTTGCCTGAGTTCAGGAACCTCTCTGGCCAGGGCCTCCCAGATCGCGAGGAAATATCGAGCGGGAGCCTTGTCGTCGCGGCTGGGCATCCGCGAACTTGATTGAAACGCGAAGAATTCTCATGCGAGAGCGCCGTTTCTAAGTTCGGGGGCCTCTCTGGCCAGGGCCTCTCACGTCGCGGAGCCCTTGTCGTCGTAGTTGGGATTCCACCAACTCGACTGAATTACGAGGGTGTCTCGACCGAGGCCGTTCATGAGTTCGGTCTTTCTGGTAGCAGTACTCTTCGGTGTAAGCTATCAAGAATACAGCAGACTCTGCAAGGCACTCTGTACGCGCACAACTCTGCCATGGCCCGCATGCGGGCGAATTCGCCCTCGGGCAACTCCGCCGACGCAGCTTGCAGGACGCCAATGCGACTTATCAAGTCTTGCACTTCGTCTACGGCGAGGGCGAAGAAAGCGGGATGCAGCGAGTCGCGCAGCCAAGCAGCGTCGCGCGCGGGCGCGGCCGCAGGCGGCCAGACGAGCGCAAGCCAATGTCTAAGGGAAGGCTGATGCAACATTTGCCCTAAAGCGTGGTCGCCGTTGAATACGGCCACGTTGGACGAGTCGCCCACCCGGGCAGTTGCCCCCAGGTGGCCCGCGCCGCGAGGCAAGTCGAAGTGGCACCCGCGGGCCGCGAGATTGACCCGCAAGGCGCCGTCGAAGTCTCCCTCTGGGTAATATCCGCCCTCGGCCCGTTGCTGGCACAGCGGGGGGGGGGGGGCTCGCGGGCGGCACGCGTTCCCGAGGCAGCGGTTCACCGCGGAGAAGCCGCACGCGAGGCGAACCTGCGTCGGGGCCCCAGGGTGCACGGCACCAATGGCTGGGTCGTTGAACCATTCTGGCGCAAGCCTCTGGCGGCCGATCGCCCCCCCGGGCCGGGCCCGCTGCCGGGCGGCGGCGAAGGGCGGCGGCGCGGTTAGCGCCGACGTCTCCTCCGCATCAACGGAGCCCGACTTGGTCTCCACGCCCGCGCCGCCCAAGTCCGCTGAGCCCACGGAGTCGATGGAGTCGGAGTCGGGCCGCCGCGCCTCCTCTAGATCAGCGAGGCTGCGCGGGGGCCTAGAGGCCAGGTCGCTGTCCGCAAGCGCGGACGCCTCCTCCCGGTCACCCAGGCTCATGGGCCACCTCTCGTCTGCGTCGCTGTCCGCCTCACTGCCCTCGCCATTGGGGGCCCCCTGCCCGCTCTCGTCGCCCCCCTCGTCTGGGACCGCGCCAACGCTGAGCCCGGAATATGGCATCTCCTCGCGCGCTGGCCGATCGCCGAAGTCCGACGACTCGCTGTCCTGGAAGATGCCCCGCCTGCCATCAAAATCGGCATCTTCCGAAGCAGTGTTTCCGAAAGAACGCCGCGACGCACGCGCTCGGCGTCGCCTCGGCCTCCCGCCGGCGAAAAGTCAGACTGCCGGGGCCTCCCGAAAATGAGACAGCCCCTCTTAGCAGAGAATCTGGAGACGGCCGCGTAGCCATGGCCGCGAACGGCGGCGTGTCTTTTCCGATTGAACCACATGGCGCCCGCGGGTAGGCTGGCCCCCCGGGCCCTCCTGATAGTCGTCGCATAACCCCAGCAGCACAGCAGAAAGACGCGACCGCCCTCGCACAACGGACGCACTAGCATCAGGTTCCCAGTTCCCCAGAGACGCGCCACAAACACCTCGCCCCCGCACAAGCTCACCTGGACTACGGCAGCCGCGCCATTCACAAAGCCCCGAACTGTGTCTGATTTTCGCGTGAGTTGCACGAGGGACCTCTGTCTCGCAACCATATTGATCTGCATTCTGCTCGCATGATCCGACGCGAAACCGGCGTCGATCTCATTCTAGGAAACGCCCGCTAACCGCAAAGCTGCCTGCGACACCTGCCCCGAACCTTTGTTCGTCGCGCACAGCCAAGTGAAACGGGTTTCCCGTCTGCTTCTCGAACTGCATTGCGTTTTGGAGGGCATGCTCCATGTCGCCTGCAAAATGCCGACCTGCAGACAAATGTCGCAATTCCTCCCGAGTGGGCTGCGTCGAGCGAATGCGGTTCTGAAACTCCACCAGCTCCTTGTCTCCCGCGCGGCGCACCGTCTTCAGCCCGACTCGGTCCACCTTCGCGCACGCCTGCACGCACAGGGTCTCATCGGCGTCGTCGGCCACCTTCTCCCCAGGTCGAACAGGCCGAAGTTGCTGGAAGTCTGCAACGATCATGCAGCAGGGCATGTGGGGCTGTTCAAGCATCGCCTTAAAGAATTTGCCGAACTCTGCATCCGCGCACTGGCTGCCCTCGCCCACCAAGACGAGGTCTATCTTGCGCGGCGCGAACGGCGGAGACCAGCGCACCTTCCCGTCCTTCTAGGGGCGCTTGTAATTGAGGACGCCGTGCATGGTGTTAACGCGAATGTTTCTCGATGTGGTCGGCCTCGGGCAGCTGCGACTTGACGCTGTGCACAAGCTGGCCCGGTGGATTTCTCGCAGTCTGGCACCTGCGCCGCTGGGCGCCCTCCTGGCGCCCCAGGAAAACAAGCGGGTTGGCAGCCCGATAGTCACCGCAGCTCGACGGGGCTGCGGGTGAGACTCTTGCCCTGTGGTTGGCCAGCCACGGTAGGCGCGGGCCCGCCGCGCCACCCTTGAGAGGCCCGATGGGGCCACTCGAAAGGGTCCCCCAACGCGGGGGGCGCGGGAACTGAAGTCCTTGGGCAGCGGGGTCTTCGCTGCTTGAGGCCGGCGGCCAAACGGGGGTGGCGCCGGCGGCCGCGTCTCGGGGTGGCATCTCGAGGCACCTCGCAACGGCGGCACAGACCTGGCGCCTGGGGCGGGTTTGCGCCGCCGTTTATGTTGCGAGGTCCGACTGCATGTGAATTCATGCAGGCACCTTGGGCACCTCCCCTCGGATTGTGCCGCCCAGTTTTCTGTCCGGGTACATTCAAAGGGATTCTCGCAGTCAAATTTGCGGCCTTCCGACATCCTAGGAACCCTCCAAGACGGCGTGGCCGCGGCCCGCGAGGGCATCCGGAGGGCCCGAGGCCAGCCGAAGAGGACCCCAAGCTGGCCAAACAGCATACAAGAGGACACCACGCAGGCCCACGCGAGGCCTTCAGACGGCCTTCAAGATGCCGAAAGACCCGAAGACGACCCAGAGAGCCCCCCAAGACGGATTGCGAAAGCGCCAAGACGGCCCAAGAGCGGCCCCAGGCGGCCCACTTCCGAAATCGCAACCACCTGTCGGGCACACGATGAGGACGCCGAGGCCGCGCGCTGCAGCCGCTATCGCCGACTCCAGCAGAACGGCCGATTTGCCGCTCCTCGGGGCGCCCGCCACGCACAGCCACCGAGCGGGCGAGACTAGGGGGGGGCGCGATCGGGTGTGGGAGGTCGCGGGAAAGGGCTGGGCGGTGAAAAGCCAAAGGAGAAGGGGTCAAGACGGGCGGGGGCGGAGAGGGGCAGGAGCGAAACCACCGAGACTCCGGGTACCCCCGCTCCTTCTCGGCCTGGTCGTCCACGCTCGTCTTTTCCACGACCTTCTGCAAGACCGCGCGCTGCTCCGCGGACCAAACGTAGTCCTTTCGGTTCGGCCGATGGAGGCGCTCCCAATCGTCCTTGAGCGCCTGGAATTCGGCGTCGCCCTGCGCCCGCATGGCGCGCCGGTGCAGCAGGTAGCCCGCGTCGGCAGTCACCTCGAAAGTCCACAACCTCTCGTCTCGGCACCCTTGGTAGGACAAGTCCCGACGGCAGACGACCCGCATGCAGCTGCACGCCGCGCTCTCCGAAGGAAACAGCACGCCGCCCGCAGGGAGAGCTCCATTCGAGAGCAATCGTCGGCCGGCCCCTGCGCCCAGCGGCGCGACGCACCCGTCGCCCCGCGCGTCCAACGGAAGCGCTGCCTCGTGGAACTGGATGCCGCGAGCCCCGACCACAAAGCCCGGCGCCCGGCCGTCATCGCCGCATCGGTGCCGCAGGAAAACCCAACTCATGAGGTAACGCAGCACGTCGACGGGCTTCTCCATGCAGTCAAGGTGCGACACGTCGACGGGGAGGAGATCTGCGGGGGCAGCGCGCGGCAGCTGCGCGAGCGCCATCTGGCCCCAAAGCCCGTCGGCCAGCTCGTGCCAATACCTGCATGCGCACGCAAATGTCGGCGGCCTACCGTGCTGGATGTGCTTACCCTTCCACAGCTGCGCAGCCTTTCGCTGGTGGTCGCACTCGCACGCTCGTCGCCACCGCAGGACAGACTCGCGGGCGGGCCACCCCCTCTATCACACTTCTCCTCGACCGTGGCGCAGCACGCGCGGTGCATGGCGAAGCTAGAATTTCCACCCTTCCGTCGAGCGGTGCCCAGCGCGGCGCCAGCAGGCCCTGGGGGCGACGCGTCGGCGGCGGCGACGGCGTCGCGCGGCAGCGGCGGATAAAGCAAGACGTGGGAATACGACTGATCAAACTCCGGGTACGACGCCATTCGCACCGCCATTTCGGGGATGCTCGGCGCGCACTTGCTCGAGAGCCCGTACGCCGCGAGCCAGGGCGCCGCGGGGCCCTTCTGCGTGTGCTCCCCCAGCCCCACGTCCACAGAGTCGCGGCCCTTCGACGCGTAGCCGTCGATGTAGTTCAATCTCCCGTTTCCGGTTCGAGCGTCCACTTAGCAGAGGAAGAGGATACCGAGGAATTAGACGAAGCCAACGGCGGCCGCCAGGGCGCCGCCCGTCGCGCCAACGCGACCCACCAGCGACGCCAATGTGCCCGATGCCAAAAGGACCCAAGCGCAGATGTGCCAGTGCGGAGTTCCGCGGCCTTGGTACTCAGTACGAACGGCGTACTCGAGAACCCGAACCACCGGTGGCCGAACCGATTGCTCAAGAAACCCCACATGCTGAGCACGAGCAAGTACATGTGAAGGCCGATGAGGTAGGCGAACCCGCTCAAGCAGTTCCAGTAAGGCTCCATCCAGTGTGGCAAAGGGAACTTCCACTCCGCTGGCGCGAAGGTGATGAAGAGGTTCGGAAACGCCACCATCCACAAGGCATCTCCGTGTGCGTCCCGAACGGCCTTGTACAAATCTGGGTGGCCGTCGCGGTCGTGGCACTTGTCCATTTGCACCCACACGAGGTCAGCAAGCGCGTCGCGCACGATATCCCGGTACCCGCTGCTCACCTGGGAATGCCGCATGAGAACGTCCGCAGGCACGTCGAGCTTCTGGCCCCTGCCGTGCGCGTGAAACAAAAATCCTGGCCATCTGGGTTTCATGCCGGAAAAAATGCCAAGTCGGGGTTCTCGGCGTACGCGCGGAACAACAACAACCACAACAACAACAACAACAACAACAACAACAACAACAACAACAACAACAACAACAGCAGCAGCAGTAACAACAACAACAACAACAACAACAACAACAACAACAACAACAACAACAACAACAACAACAACAACAACGCAACAAGCAGAATTCTCACCACGAACTCCTTCTTCGGCCACGCACCCAGGGACAATGAATGACCGTTCGGCCCCCTCACTCTGATATACATATATATATACTATATGTTACAAACAACCGTCGTGTAGAATACCGTTTCCCGAGCGGTATCGCCGGAAAGTGTCCGCCACGGAGCTTACTCTACAAGATTTCTCAACGCGCGCGTCGCCCCTGGGGGGCGACGCACACATGGGATTAGCATGCTCGGTTACACGTTTTAAGAAAGACCCTAGGCAAGAGTGACCTTCGGTGCGCGACTTCACGGTAGACGTGGCGGGGCCAAACCTGGGCGCGCAAGCCACTGCTGCCGCCTCGCGCTCGGCGATCGGGGGACCCCATCGGGCCCGCACCACAGGTCACTCCGGCGAAAGGTCACTCCAGCGAGTAGTCGATATGCTGGGGTGACGCCGAAATCGGCAAGCGCGTCGGACCGGGCCGTAATCGGCACGGACTTACTCAATCCGCAGACCAACGAAAAACCCGACCCCTTCACAAAGGAGCAGCTGTTCGCCCTGGATCCATTTTCAATGGTCCCGGGCCGAAAATTTGCGGTGCGCAGAGGGAGGAGGGGGGAAGGCTTCTTAGAAGCCGTCCCCCCTCCCCCTACCCCCCTCTGCGCGTGGCCGAATAGAAGAGGCCCCTGGAAGCCGAGATCTTGAAAAACGACAGGGCTGAAACAACACCCATCGTCGCATGTCTGAGCCCCCCCGTGCCCCCCAGACGTCGTGGACCCCAGCCAGATCGACCCATTCCCCGTGGGACTGGCTTTTCATTCTTGAATCGTTTCTTCACGGCCTCGGGGTCCAGCAGCGGCGCCCAGAGGCCCAAAATGGCAAAAACAAAAAACAAAAAACAAATGTCCGCCGCTGCATTTTCACGACTCGAGGGGTCTGGGGTGCGCTGTTAGACACGGGCCGGCCCTGTCCCACTAACGCCATCGACGCGTCAAGCGGGTCCGCGAGCGAGCCACGCTGCAGATGCAAACGCTCTGCTCGAACATACCGCTTGGGGGAGGGGACGGGGGGGAGGGCACGAGGGGTGCGGTCTCTGCCGATCCCTGCGGAGCCTGTGGACACCGCTGGCCCAAGCCAGAGATGGCAGAGCCCTGAACCCGCCCCTCTGCTGGCGCAGCACGGGGCAGCCCCGACCCCGCCCCCGTCTCGGCCGCTGGGGTCCTCCCTGGCCCGCTCCAGCTCGGCGGCGAGGCCGGCCAGGTCCGCGGCCGACCTCTCGGCTCCCTCCTCTGCGGCGCGCCCCTCCTGCGCGCGCCTCGCGCGCTCCTCGGCCGCCTCGGCCAGAAGGCGCTCGCGCTCCTGCTCCGCCTGTGGCAGAGCAAAACAGCAGCATGAAGATGAATGTTCGATCACCTACAGAGGTACTCGCTCGCACAGCTCGGAGAGCCGTGGTGCGTCGCTGGTCGAGACTGGAGGGAAGGGCGTGCGGCAGGCTGGGGGCTGGCTACGCGCAAGACTTCTGAGTCCAACTCTGCATGCCAGTTGTACTTCGCCCGCGCAAATGTAAAGCTGCCCACGTCCGCTTGTGGACCAATCCCACCAGCCCTTCAGGGCGCAGGTGGTTTAGAGCGTTTCCTCCTCCAACCCCCTTCTTCCCCTGCGGGAAACCCATGACCACACACACACACACAAACACACCATCCCTGTACACTTTGTGTCAAAATCTTGGTCCATGCGCGGGCCCCCCACGATCACTTTGTCTTGTGTTTTAGCAGGGATCGGGGGGGAGGCATATTGTCTGGTGTGTGTGTGTGTGTGTGCGGACCCACCTCTCCTGCTAAAAACAATGCTATGTTCACTTTGCGATCAAAATCTTGGACCATGCGTGGGGGGCCCACGATCACTTTGCATAGTTTGTTGACGGGCCTATCGTCTGGTGTGCGCGGGACCACCACCACCACCACCACTAAGCTTAGCGTCCGGTAAGTCGCGTGGGCAGAAACGCCAAATGCGCGCAATAGCGCAAGAAATCTAACGCGCCAAACACCTGCCAAAAGAAACGCGAGACACGCCAAAAACGCGCCGGCGCAGGAGGGAGGGAGGCGAAGGAGGACGACGAGGGGGAAATGATGCACGAATGATGCTGAATTGGCCCTTAAGGCGATATCTGCAGAATCGCGTCGCAAAGACTGTATGGATTTGTACACTTCTGCTGCCAATTGCTGCTGGGGTCGGCCACATTTTCTGAGGAGTGTCCAGTCACGCGGCGTGTCATCAAGATTATAAATAGCTGTCACAGTTGCAGCACCTGGAGATTTACACTTTCTCTGAGACAGCGCAACTTGTCTGTCCAATCAAATGTGAGAAAAGTTGTTTGCCAGACGCTTGTTCTACTACGGTTGCCTTCCTTACTCGAGAAAGAAATGGAGGCGGATTCCCCGCAGACGCCGCAGAAATTTACCATGAAAGCGGGCGAACCATCCCTGTCGAAAACCATTCCAAACCATGCGACATGCTGGCCATCATCTCGCATTGGCTTCAACAAGGATGCTGCCAGGTCGCCATAAAATCCGATATGTGCTGTCACGTGTACAGGCGCACCTGACACACTCTGCGCGCGCTGCGCACGTGGCGCACGTGGCGCGGGTGAAGCACGTGGCACACTTGCGCATGTAGAGCCCGCGGCGCACTAGGCGCGCCTGGGGCGCCTGGCGCACCTGGCACGCGAGGCACACTTTTTTGGTTGCGGTCCGACGACGCAGGTCAGCTGTGTGGCTGCGGGAACGGTAGACGTTCTCCGCGAAGCGACAGGGCAACAGGGCCCGAGAGCGGAGCGCCTGAGCTCGCTCCAGCTCTCGCGAACGACCTCCCTATTTCCCCCGCCCCCTCACCAACACCACCCCCACGCTATCGCGCTCCTCCTCCTCCCCCGTCCAGGGCACAGGGGGCGTTCTTGGATGGCCGCAGAGGAGACTGAGGCTAAGAATCGCCCACGACCCGACGCACAACACCTTGGGCATTCTCATGAGCGTGAGATTAAAAATCGCGTGGGGGGCTGGACGAAACTTCGCTGCACAACGCAGTGGACTGCGAAAAAGGGGGGCCGCTGACAGGAGCAGTCGGCGCAGCCTGTCTGCCTCTGCTGTGCAGCGCGCACCCTCGGAACGGAAGGCCCGATGCCTCGGAAATCCGGTGCGGAGTTATGTTTGGCATCAGTAGGCGGCGGCACGGGGTCGACCGAGACACCCTTGAAACAATTCGGGCAAGACTACTTCGACATCGGGCGACGGCACCTGTGCCGAGAAGCCTGTTATGTCCATCGTTGGGCTGGCCTTGCTGGCCAACCCATTTGCTGTTCGAGGACTGGCAGCCCCAGCTCAGTTTCTACACACGTTTCCGAGAAGCCAGCGCGGAATGAAAAGGCTCGCGAGGAGGAGAACGCAGAGGCCCATGCGAAGGATGGGGATGAGGACGAGGAGGCGTGAGGAGAAGGGACCGACAGCTGCAGGCGGGCCAGTGTGCTTCAGCGCCAGCGGGCGATTACAACGCGCCATGCTCCGCCGTGAGGCTCTACAAGGCGATGCGGCGTAAATCACCCTGCTCTGGTGCTGCCAATGTGCTTCAACCACAGCAGAAGATCTGCCGTGAGGCTCTGCTGGGCGATGCTGCGAAAGTCACTGCGGCAGCAGTTGCAATCATGGTCATCTGTGGCACACCTGTCGAGTCACGTAAGCCATCCAGCAGCTGCCAACGGAGGCTATACAGCTCTGGCAAGTTGCAAATCTCTTATCGTTGTGTCCATGCTGTGTTTGCCGTTTGTTTGAAACTGGTTGATAAACTTGCTTGCTCAATCGTATTGTATGTTGCAAGTTCGACCCGGCGCGAATCGCCGTTGCATGGACACTGAAGCTCAGAACATAAAGTGTAGCAATGAAACCACTGCCGAACGGTCGAATTCGACGGGCACTTGGAAATCAGTCGGTTTCCGTAGGCCAAGCGGCACGATTGTGCGAAGGCTTGTCCGTTCGAGTCGTCGTCTCCGTCATTCGTTAGTCGTCGTCTGTCGTCCCCGTTCCCTGCGCCCCCCCTTTCCCTGGGCCAGTCGCCGCTCCCCCCCCTTTTCCTGGGTCCTCCTCCTCCTCCTCCTCCTCCTCCTCAAGGGCGCCAGCCAAAGCGAAATTGAGCAACGTAGCAATTGAGGCGGAAAGAAGCCCCTTCCCTTTGATCCCTTACCCGTGGGGCGGGGGGGGGTCCGTGTCCAATGCCAGGTCCGTCGCGGGGGGGGGATCCCGGGTCAGATACGACTCCCCCCTAGCGGGTCTCGGGGCCCAAAAAAGCACGTCCTGCAGGACGCCCCAAAAGGCCTCCAGGAGCACTCCCCAGAGAGCCCCAAGAGACAAAATCATTGATTTCCAATAAGTGTCTAAAGCATTTCGGCGTTCTCGCCTCTTCCGCTTCCCGACGCTCCAAGACGGCCCAAGAGGCCCCCCAGATCGCCCCAAGACGGCCCAAAAGGCCTCCAAGAGGGAGCCAAAACGGCCTAAGAGGTTCTCAAGACGGCCCAAGACGCCTCCAAGACGGCCCAAAAGGCATCCAAGACGGCTCCAAGAGGGTACCCAGACGAGGGACCAGAACGGACAGTTCGAGCCCTCGGCCACGAGAGGCTCCCAAGAGGAACCAAGAGGCCCCCAGGAGGCCCCCATGAGGCCCCCAAGAGGCCCCAAGAGGCCCCAGGGAAGCCCCAAGACGCCCCCAGAAGGCTTCCAAGAGACCCCCAAGAGGCTCCCAAGAGACCCCTGAACTGTCCCCCCTAGAGGGTCCGCCTCCTCCTCCTCCTCCTCCTCCTCCTCCTCCTCCTCCTCCTCCTCCTCCTCCTCCTCCTCCTCCTCCTCCTCCTCCTCCTCCTCCTCCTCCTCGTCGTCCAGGGTCGGCGGCACCGGCCGTAAGGCATTCTCCATCACCATTCCGCAGCAGGCTGAAGCACACCTAGAGCCGAGGAGATACAGAGTGAGAGAGTGAGAGAGAGAGAGAAAAAAAAAAAAAAAAAAAAAAAAAAAAAAAGTGAGAAGGCCCGACCAACAGCGGAGCTCCACACGTTGAGGAAGCGGAGGAACAGGCGCAACTGGCAGGCAGACTATCAACCCGTGGTCGATCACAGTCCGCGGCACGGCGCCACGAGGCGGCTTAAACCATACCGCCAGAAGCACATGTGGACGCCTGTGCCGCCCTATCTGCCGCTCATGGTACCGCACAGCAAGCCTGCATGAATTACACTGCACAATCGCCGTGCGGGCAGCTTACGCCCTCTTGTTGGCAGCATCCACCGCCCAGCGATCGCCATCGGCGGCGGACCCCTCCTCCACCTCTTGGGCCATCGCCCCTGCGTCGGAGGCCATGGTGGTGGAAGTCCTAGCGCCCTTGGGCGGCCCCTTCTGGCCACCGCCCGCGCGGCCGCCGCCGGAGTGCCGCGGGCTCGCGACGGTCAAGCCCGCGAACAGGGGTGATTCCGTCGCGGCGCAGGGCCACCGGCACCGCGCAGCCCGACCCTCGAGGATGCGGCCCCTGAAGCGCTTGATGGCCGGCCCCTCCTGGACGGGGCCCCGAAGCGGCGGCGCCGCGCGCGATGCTGGACGCAGCGCCACTCGGTCTTCCGAGGCGGGGGGTCCTGGCGACCTGGCTCCGTCTCGGAAGAGCTGGCGCGGCCGCGGCCTGCGACCACCGCGGCAAGGTCCAGGGCTGGGACCCGAGACGCCAAGGGCACCAGCGCGGGCGCCAGCACGGAGCCCGCCACGGCGGCGGCGGGGGAATCCATGGCGCGGACAGGACACGCCCCGGAGCCGCAGCGGCTTGAGCCCAACCTTGAACCAAAATGACTACTCTAGGTTTCTTAATAAGCGTGTGGGGGTACCCCCCCGACGGGGGTCAACCTCGCCTCGTCGTCGCGCCACAACGGGGGTCGGAGCGCCTTCGGCGCGCGGTGGCTGCCCGCGACGGGGGTCGGTCGATGTGGGGCTGTCGGCGGGGGTGACGCCCCGGACTCGGACTCGGACTCGGACCTGCAAGGTGCACGCCGGCGGGGGCGCTGCAGGCGGGCGCCATGGCGCCATTGTGTGAAACGAGCGTGGCCGCGGGCTCAGCACCGGTTGGCGGTGGCATGAACGCGTGATGCTGTATGGCAGGGGAAGGACGCACGAAAGGAGAGAGGGACGCACGACAAGCGAGGACGAGAGGCGAGGCCGAGGGAGGGAGGGGGAGGGACGAGCGACAGGAGGGACGACGGAGGAAACGCGAGGGAGGGAATTCAAACAGTGCTATGAAAAATGTACAATCACATTATCTACTGACAAATCTGCTCTCCATCGTTCCCC